AAGAAAGAAGAGGAAAAATTATCAAAGGAAATTTCTCTGATAGACGAAGATGTCTCTGCCGATTTACAGGATACTGCAGTTACAACTACTGTTGTCAAAAAAGAGGTAAAGAAAGAAAAAAAGGAGAAAAAAGAGGATGAAATTTTTGTACGAACAGTGCCAGACAAGGCTATTCCTATTGTTTCTCAGGATATTGCAGATACAGTACATACTGTTGCTAAAGATGATCGAAGAAAAGAAAAGAAAGAAAAGAAAAAAGAGATTGATATTCCTCTGGTAGACAAAGATGTCGTTGATAAGAAAAAAGCTGATAAGAAAAAAGTTGATGCCGTTGTTGATTCTTCAATTATAGATTCTATACAGAAACTGAGACAGGATAGTAAGCAGATTAAAGACTTTTGTTCAAAGAAAGAAGCTATATCCGTAATAAATGACATCATTGATTCCTTTATCGATACCCCACGAGTAGATCCGGAATGCATGAAAATAGTGAAAGATATTCTTCAAGAACTTGTATCTTTTAAATATAAAATGCCGAAATATCGTAGCATCGATGCATTGAGTTGTGAGTCTTCAAGGGCTCTCATCGAACGCAAGTATTTTATCACAAAAAAAGAGAAGGTACTGCAATGTAAGAAGATACAACCTGCCAAGGTTCTCAACGTCTCGACATGTACATTCCTCTCATTCACCTCGTCTGAGGTAACAAGGAGATCTTATTATGAAAAATCAGCAGCGAATATATGTCAAGATGATCGAAGCAGGTTACCGAGGATTTTACAGCCAATAAGATGTGACGGAGGTTTAACACCAAGTAACATCTATCTCGGGGAACCCAAATGCTGTGCTATTCGGACCGCATCGTACTTTAACCCACAGATTGCAGTTACACGGGATACTACTTTAAGCGACATTCTTTGCCCTTCTCACGCAATCGGATATCACGTCAGCTGTCGTTCGTTGATCGGTAGTAGAAATGCTTCTCTCCGAAATTGTAATATCAACTGCTGCGCGAAACGTAGAGCAATATTTGAAAACGCATTTGATACGATATGCGATTCGCGTTGTGCGAGTGGCACGAAATATTATTATCCGCGCTTAAATAATATCGACAATGTTCGAATAGGCTATTATCATTGCAACGATAACTGTCCAGTATGGAACAACAATCGACACTGTGAAAGGAGTCGATCATATCACTGGTGGACAAGGGAAAATTTATATTTTACACATCCATGGACACCGAGGTATTTACTACGATATAACTGATATTGATAATATTGACATAATATGACATTTAACTTGACTGAATAATTCAAGATCAATCGCGTCGGTAATATAAAATTTATGTACCGCGACCGCTTCATCGTTTATGTAATTTTTTACCACGATGAGATACTTGCAATGTAAGACAGGCTGCAATATTATGATGAAGGCTATGAAAAATTAAAATGGATAAACACACGACGTGTATGCTCTGTATCGCAATTCATATTAGTGACGCGCGTCAATTTTAATTATATATACTACGGACTAATTTTAGTTATTAACCCGCTCGCAAATGGCAAATAGAGTTTTGCGCCCTGTCGGACGCATGCATATTAATAATTAAAATTAATAACGCGCTAAATATAGTTACAATATACGCGTGACACTCGACACATTGATGTCGGACGACAAAACAATGTATCGTACGATATATTAACGCGGACAGAGAGTGATTATGCGAGTTTGCAGGAGCTTGTATTATGCATTGTGACAACTAATTTATAATATAGTTCCCTAATAATGACAAATTACTCGGAGAATTACAATTCGAAAAATAGTAAAATTTAGGAGAAATATTTGCGCAAGGAACCACAAAGAAACATAAGAACGGAAAAATTGCCAATTGCAAAAGACGCGACTCCGATTTTAGCGGCTCGATGGTTTCTTTTCGCTCGTAAAGTTACTTTGCGCTACAGCTTGGAAAGCATTTACGAGAAGAAATCGGCTTGTACGCGAAAAATCGTTGTGCAAAAAATACTAAACAATACCGAAAAGACCTTGCGGGCAACTTGAAGAGAACTTTGCATCCTGACGGGGACGTAACTGTTACCCTTAAGCGGCCATCGTGGTTGGCGATTGTGGCGGAAGAAGCCTCGCGAAAGTTCGCGAAGTACCTGCCGGATGCACCTGCCAGACCTCTAAAATCGACCGAGAAGCGGAAACTATATTTCACTCATCGGATATTATAGTACGTGCTTATAGAATAATTTTTTTTATCAAAAATAATTTCATAGTTTTTATTACAGTAAAAGAAACTGAAAGTGCGGCAAAATTTTCAATTTTCTTAGAAGTTTATGTGCTATTTAATGATTTCTATAAATTTTATTCTCACATATTCACAGATGTCATGCGGCATACGATCGACAATTAAAGGATTCATAATAAGGATTCATAAGCGAAAGCTTACCTCAGGAGAATCTCACGTCTTAAGCAGCCTTTGTGCTCGGAGAGTCCATCGAGACGAAAACTTCGTCGAAGTTCGTGGCAATCTGCTTGGTGAACTTCCTGGGTGACCGAAATAAGAGGGAGGGGGAGTCTAAACTAGTCTCTTCTCGACAACCGAGTACATCGTGATCCACACAGGCAGCATTAAGCTCATGTCTGCCGCTGGAATGAGCGTCCCGGTTGTGTATCGGGTAGCTTTATGTAATGGCAGGACTCAACGTCATTCTGGCGGATCTATCAGACAGGCGACGTCGGAAGATTTACTATTCAACTTCGACGTCTCGCACAGTGCGGAACTTCGCCTGCGGAGGCAAAGGAAGCACGATAAACGGCTTCGACGAAAGGGCCCATCTTCCACGTTAAATATTCGAGAACGCTGGTGTCGACGAGGGACGCGGTTGCTGGAACGGAGTTGCTTCGTGGACGATGATAATGACAATGTGGAAGCTGAGAATTCGTGCTAGATCGCGCAATAAAATAAGAGCGAGGAAAGCTTAATAGCGCCACGCTTCGCCAAGGTACAATTACTCGGTAAGAGATTTTAGCGAAGAAAGATCGAAAGAGAGTGCGAAGGATCCCACGTAATGCCTCCCGACGTCTCTATCCGACGCCTTATCATGCTAAGTTGATTAAACACGGGTGACAACACGCTGTTCCTCCTCCTCTCCTTTACCCGTTGTCATGCCTCGTGTATATCGTGCACCCATCGTCCACGGGCGTGCAACACGGCCGTGTATCCACCACTGTCTGACCCACCTCCGTGCAATCTGCCGTCGTGTAATCCGCCGGCGTGTAAACCACCCTTGTGTAAACCGTCCTTGTGTAAATCACTGCCGTGTCCAGCGCCATCGGCTCGCTGCCACCGTCGTGCGACACGTCTCACCGTCGTGTTCAACGTCTTTGAACCGTTCAATCCCGTCCAAGAACCGGCCTCGTGTCGAGGAACTCTGTATTCGATAGCCTCACAAACACGCCAGATGAGAGACGGGTCAATGGCGGTGAAAGGACTGCTCCATTAATTTGCTCAAAGTTGAATTAAATACGGATTGGGTTGTATGGGAATTCAAAAGAGACCTTTCTTGCAAGTAAATGATGTATAAAAAATGTTTGCGTAACTTATATAATTTTTTTATTAATGTTATATTTAAAATTATGTCGCTTACTTTTTGTTTCTATGTGTCTCGTTGATTTTAATATTTTTTAATTGCGCCAATTAATTGTTCCATTCTCGCCAGAAGAGAGTCAAATTTTTTATACATGTTCGCTCTTATACTTAATTCTGTGTAACGCATGCGGAAGTAATATAAAATGCCACGTGTATCTTTGAATCTTGTTAAATATAGATGACCTGCAAAAGTCTTCCTTCTTGCGGAGGATGTCGCGGTCAATCGTGCGGAAAAATATATAGTTGCTCGAGTTCCGGTAACGGAAACACGCTGCTCGAGAAGCCATTGGGAAGCAGTCCGGAATGCTGCGGCGTTGAAAATCCAAGCCGCGGAGGATGCTGCTAATGATTCACCGCTTTAAAGATCCCACGCCCGCTGCACGCTCCAGAAATTAATAAATAGAGCAGTTTCCTCAAGACGTAAACTGGTAGATTTATTACTTCCGAAAACATGCAATTTGCTTTGTTAGACATACAAACACCTTGTAACGCTTATAAACCCCTTAATTTTTGTTTATCAACTGCAAACCGACAATGGCGTCTTATAAGAACAATGACAATTAACCTTATCGATTAATGTAACCTGAATGTAATCTAAATTAACGTTAGACCGCGATTCAAAATTATATCGCGTGCCAGCGAAACTAATAAAAAATGAAATTGTCTAATTGTTTACTAATCGCTTCGCGTTGGCCGCGACGCATACTCGGAATCTCGAAACTATCCTCTTTCGAATTTCTTAAAACCATACATCCCGATCTATCGAATAATCAGCTGCTGAATCTGTTGAGAGATCAAAATAAAGACCTTGACGAAATTCTCGCGGAACATCATCGGCAGCTTGTCTGCGAGAGAGATCTTGCGCGGGTCCTACGTAATCTCAACATTTGTTATCGCATCGTAAAAAGGTAACGTTTCCTGCGAATAAGTTACATTATGAGTTAACGAACCTGTTCTTATCATAAAGCCTTCTCTCTTCTCAAAGCAAAAACCTTGCAGCATTACTTTCTCGAGGTTAATGCGCATTTTTTGAAATTTCCATCAAAATAAATTGTAAATAAATTGTAATTACCAAGTAATTAAGTAAGAAAGACTCTTTTATTTATGTTCAAGCAGAATAACCGACGCGAAAAGATGCGTGAATTGGGCCGACTTAGTACTCGCGATCGGTGGGGATGGCACTTTCCTTTTAGCCTCGAAGCTGATAACGAACAACGAGAAGCCAATGTTTGGCATCAACCCGCATCCTGGAACTAGTAATAGTTTCACGATGCCGATGAAGAGTAGCGCGGACATCGAGAGGATATTCGAGAAACTGTATAAGGGGAACTATACCGTGCTGATGAGAAGTCGCATACAGACAATCATGACAGGAGAAGGACTTTATCGACAACCCTTTCATGTGCACGAAAAGAGCCGTACACGAGGCGAAAGAAGGATCGAGTGAGCGGATTAGCATTTAGCTTTGCTTTCTTTGGTAGATAAACGGATTACGTAACGCTCCAGTCAACACGGCTTATATCTTACTTATCGTTGAAAGTAACGGCCTCTCTCTTAAAGAAAAATCCCTATTGCGCGATTATTTATCTCGCTTCTTTTTTTATAACACGATTGTACTCTACGTTTTACCAGCGAAATTTTCCAGTATTCCTTTGTAAAGACCAACTCGGAAAATTATTCCTCTCGAAAATACAGAGAGAGAGAGGGCTTCGTTTGAGCCGCGAGAGCGAGTTAGAGCGCGTTATGGAATAATAATATTAATAAATCTAACACGCCAAAGCGAACGGGGACGAAAAAGGACTTACGAAGCACGACGAGCGTCCCCTTTATTCGCGAACGCTTGAGAGGAAAAAAAAGAGAATGTCTTGGAGGCGACATTAACGTAACGTAGCGCTCGCAGAAAGATAAGGGCTTGAACGCTTCTTGATAGCCGGGGAATGGCTTTGCGAGCGCGGCTGCATAGCGAAACGAGGAGTAATAAGGTTGACAAGGGAGAGACGCACGCGCGCGTAACCGGACGAGAGAAATGTCCCGTATAATTCCGTTAGCCGTTCCCTTTCTCCCCGTGAAAGCGCGCTCGCCCGCGCTAGATGGAGAAACATTAAAGCGCCGTCGAGAGAGAGAGAATGGGGTCCCCGCGTTCTCTAAACTTTTATTTACCGGCTACTTCCACGCGCGATCCAAGTTTGAAATAAGCGGCGAGGGTATCGCTGAATTCTCCACGCCTTCGCGAGGACAACGTAATGCGTCTTCATTGCCCGTGACTGGAGTTGCTCCGAAATGTAGCTCACGAGTGTTTCTAACTTCGGCAGTTATAACTTGTAAATTGCAAGGGCCGCGTGTAGCTATAATTCGCGCGCGCAAAGAGGGTACGTAACTTTTGAATTTCAGAGTGCGCGATTTTTACGAGGCGAAGCTTCTTAGACGCGTATATATTCATATCTGGTTAACTGGAAAATATTACTCGATTAATCTGGCGCTATTAATTTAATTTAATTTAATTTAATTTAATTTAATTTAATTCCGTCTTCTTGATGGAAAACAATTCAGTCGTCGTGCATTTGATATTCCATTGCGTCTCTCCACGTAGTCTCTTTCTATATCGCGACATCGCTCTCGCATCTCATTAATTCCTTTGCGCGAGACGTCTCTCCAAAGGCGCGCTAAACAAATGAAATCTTTGCAGCGCACTCATGAGATCCACTCAGAGGAAAATAGCGGATGCCCTGCAGCCTCGCCGGAGAATCTTGCCTTGGTTGGCATTAAACGAGGTTTTGAAATGTTAAAGCATTTCTACGCCGGTGCGCCGCTTGATAACGTGCGTCGTTTTTAGGTATTCATGGCCGAATTTTTTGCGTCAAGACCGATCACTTTGACAATCCAGGCCGACAACGAGAAAACATTCACGATTAGGTCATCGGGTATCTGTGTTTGTACGGGTTCGGGATCTCGTTCCTGGTTCAGAACGATGAATTTACAGACTGCCGAAACCGTTCAAACGCTTGCCGCCTTGGCAACTGGCAAGCAACTTGATGAGAAAGAAACCGACGAACTGTTGCAAAAGTATCACAATAACCTTCTCTTCCCTCCAGGTAGCCTGTGCTATCGCACAATCGATCCTTTTTTCAAATCTTTAATGACATTTTTCAATTCAAGAGCTGTTCAGAAGCTGTTCCAAAAAATATCGCATTGTAAACGCACTAAATGTGTTATATTTGCATTACAGAAGCTTTAAAAATGACTTATATGATATACGAGATGTATCGCGGTTCGCGCTGCTCAAAATTCATTCCAGAAAGGCAAATGTGTCGCAGGGTCAAAGTTAAATCTAGAGGCTTCGACGCCGGTCTCGTTCTCGATGGATGCGAATCTTTACCTTTCAACGACGGTAGCACCGCAACCTTCGAGATTCGACCTGAATTTTCATTAAAAAATATAATTTTTTCATAAATTTTACATTACTAGTTACACGTAATTACAACTCTATTGCGTTGCGCAATAAAATTCATCTGCTTTTTAATAACTCGCTCACAATTGTTTAATTATATGACAGAGCTAGTTTAATTATTAAGTAATTTAATTATATTAATTTATTTCTTCTCTCGGAAACAGAGGCGCAAAATAATATAATTTCTTTCAGTGCATTGTACTGAATCTCGGATGACGTAAGACGAACACGGACTAAAAAGACCCTCCCTCCAAGCCTACAGATTTATCGCGCTCGGTGACGACGGACGGCTTAGTACATTTTGTTTTCAGCGACGAGGAGAAATGGACTACCTTTTTTCCGGAGCGACCCACAAACCGAGACCCTTCGCGATTCTCCGCGCACTTTTTCCCTGATGCTCGGAAGCGCATTCGAACAATTCTCGTCCGGACTTCCATTAACCCCGTAATTTCGGTTTTCGGCGAACCGCAGACACCCCTCGCACACCTTGTCACGCGGATTGTATCTCTGGGTTTCGTAAGCGAGTGCACACAAACGCACATACCTATCCTTTCGTCTAAATGCACTCGTTTTACTTGAAGCAAAAGTTGCGGACGCTCGAAACGCGAGATATCGTCGAAAACTACCCTCAGGTACACAGCTACGCTGACGTTTTCGGGCACAGCGCCGCGTAAAGTAACCGTAAAAGAGTTGCGCGAGAACGTAAAAGCCTCGTGTTCCACGTCCACTCCGTTGTCGGAAACTTTAGTTTCATTGAAACCGAGAGCGTCCTTCGCCAATTGTGCTTCGGAAGAATTTCCCAACAGCAGTATTTCTCAATCGTTTTTGTATCACCCGTATAAATAGCAGTTTGCACGTTTGAGAACGAGAAAACTAATCCTCTTAAACTTTGTCTACTTATTGGAAGGAAAGAAAGGAGCTGAGTTTTTTGCAATTATATTCCTCTACGTCGACAACTTTGAAATGCTCAACGTCAACAAACACAATTTATTAAACATTCATTATTCTCTGTGTACACTATTTCTGTATTTACATTTATTATAACGATGATATTTTTTATATTTTTTTTTATTTCTTTTAATGCCGATTATTGTCACACACGAACACGTTCCGGGCGTGAGAAAAGAACACGGTATTAATCGATCCGAGTGGGCTTCCCAATCGGATTTCAGTGAACGGCCGAACCATTCTCATTAATCCTCGCGAAAGCCCCAATCTGTAAGAACAATGGTGATCCATCCTAGACAGAGTCTCATGGAGGACAAACAAATGTACGGGCAACCGGGAATAACGGGCGACGTCGACCGACCCTTTGTATTTCGTAATTGAACGTCGTCGTCTTTCGCCAAAGTTTCCAACGCTCGACATTTCGGCTCGAAGAAACCGGACGGAAATCGCCATGAAATTTATATAATAATATCGACCAATACTGTTGAATTCCGTATAACGTATAACGAACGTTTTCTTTTATTTTAAAAACAACGGACCGCTTGTTATGGTGATAACAACAAATATCCTTTCGATATCGGCTCGTTATCGGTATCACACGACGTAATTAATTAATAATTCTCCCGATATACTGCGTAATAATGATTTAAAACGAACGAATACAATAGCATGCTTTAACGACCAGTGATGCGTCATTACGATTATAAACATATTAATGAAGCAAAGCGTTAAAACGCGGGATTATCGCGTGTTCGAAACACCAAGCAACGCGAAATGCACGCGCGAACGATACGCGCGTAAATATATATATATATATATATATATATACGCGAGTTTATAAAATAAATAATACTTTCGCGATATACATATATGTGCATATATACGACGTATTCGCGCGTGTAGGCAAACTCGCTGCGCCGTTGTGTAATCGCAAAAATCAATATTATCGCCGCGGATATTCGGCCGCGCCTCACCTTCGCATCCCACCCAAAATCGTACCAGTTTTTTTTCCTCTCTCTCTCTCCCATTTTTTCTCTTTCGGACCTTTCGAGCCGTATAAATTCGTCAACCGATGACCGGTCGCGGCCATTTACCCTTATCCGAAGATTTAGCTTCCTTCGAACGAACCGACGGTGGTAATGGCGGTTCGCGAGATTTATTAGCGGATTCATGGGCAGAACGTTAATTCGTACCGAGGAGACCGAGAGACGGATGCGAGAGGAGAATCGTTGGCGCAAAATGGCGAACGGAAAAGAAGAAGAACGGGAATGGAAGACCGACCGGTAATCTCGATGTAAGTACGGTGAAAACCGTACGAAATGGTTAGCGCGGAACGGGAGAGAATAAGAGAGGAAGATAGAAAAACAGACAAAAAGAGAGAGAGAGAGAGATCGCCGAATCCTCTCATAGAGAGCGGACCGATATGAGAGGCGAATTCGCGGATGTACCTTTTTGCGTGGCAACGCAAACGCGCTTTACCTCCTTTTTTTCCCTCTCTGGCTTTAATTCCCGCGCCACGCTAGTTGTAATTTGATCCGCCTTTGTAACGACCCGTGTGTGTCCTGTGTGTGCAACGTCCGCTTCCGCTTTGCGCGTGGGGAAAACGTCGCGCTCGCGGTGACCGCCGCAAAGCGGAGGCGGAATAATGACAGTTAATGAAAATATGAAAGGCTAACGCGCGCACGCGGATACGGCGGCAGTGCGTCGGATCGCGACGCGACGCAAAGTGGCGATGAGAGAACGGGGAAATAACGACGGCGATTAATCGCCGCGTCTAATGCGCTTTGATCGGTCCCGCTTTGTCATCCGTTCTCCCCGGTTTCGCTCGAATCGCGTAAAAATGGCTGCGTCGTTGAGCTAGTTGAGAGACCATTTGCACTATCACTCTGTCGATATCGCGAGGGTAACGATTTAGATATACCTTTCATTATTGTCCTGAAAAATGAATTGGATAATGATAAGTGATGAGTTTTTCAAGAGAAATTCCTTCTCCTCGTCCTTCGACTATCCTCTCCATTTAATTCTCGATATTATCTCGCTACAACTCTTGCCGAATCAATCTGACGGGAGCATTTTGGAAAGACCTCGAGTGAAACGGCGTCTTTTCTCGCCGTATAAACTGCAAATCCACCGTCAAATTTGCTTAGCATATCAAGAACCGCCACGCGCACGCTCGACTACCTAGTTCTATTCTAAGCGAAGCTCATACCCCGCGGAGATTTTTCAACTATGAGAAATGACCGTAACGTGCGCTTTATAGTCACCGGAGTCACGTGCAAACGCCGCGTTCCACGGCCTTCATAATTAGGCGATAATTTATCGGGGGAGGAGTTGTTTCTGCGCGTCGACGGAAGCGGAAAGGTGGAAGGCGAGACAGGAAAAGGACCACCGCTTATAAATCGACTATAAACTGAAAGAGAGCGAGGCTCATTTCCCGTCCGTCGCGCCCGATGAGTTTCGACGGCAAATTGTCGTAACGACGATTTCGACGTTTTCCTTCCGGTCGCTCTTCGTCTTTCCGCCACGAAGGAAACGTCGGGAGAGTCAATCGATCGATCCTCTTTCAGATATTTTGTGTTTGTACACAATCCGACATTCTAGACTAGACAATATTCATTACACTTATTTCGCGGTTGATTTTATTCTTCTGCTCCAAAATTGCAGCACAAACGATTCTCTCTTCTCTTTTCCCTTTTTTCTATAATGAACCAATTATCGCGTCACGCTCTTCTTCCATTTCTCTCGAGGCAGCTTCCAGCGAGATGAATTTATGATTTTATTGATAACCGGTGAAAGAGAGAAAGGGGTAGATTGCGCGTGAGTCACGAAGCGAAAGGAACCGGAGATTGTCGCGCAAATGAATTTGAAGTATTGCCATTCTACGTCTCTTCACCTGTCTCCGCTGGATCGACGCTCTTCTCGACTTTCCATTATCTTACCTTTCGTTTCGTGCTTTCGCTCGCGGAACAGTTTCACCAGGTAGTCTTCTTTTTATCATCGTCGCGCGGTCTTGTTTCCGCTCGTCTCTCTTCCGCCCAAAAGTCGCTTTCTCGTGCAACTGGCTGGATCGATTCGCCCAGCCGCATATTCGAGCTCAACGACCGTACGAATTCGCCTGGTACAACGATAAATCGGAGTGAATGGAGAATCACAATAAGATTATCGATAGTAACGTTATCCTCTGTGGATGTCGATCGGACGATTTGTTTCGTTCGCGTCGCCTCGCGAAACTGACTACGAAATCGAGCGACGAGATGGGAAAGAGTTGTAGCTCTAGCATAATTGAATCCACGGAGCAGTTGTCGCGAAATTACAATTTCAATGACGGGACTCGCTTTTAAAAATATTGCAACAAAACTAAGTTTAAAAGAGCACATTGAGATCCAATTACCTCCAGCTGATTAATTTCCAAGGCGTTCATCGCCGTTAGAAAAGTTACATTGACCGTTTCCCCTTTCTCGAAACAGCTCTCGTTTCTCTTACGTACCAAGAGTCCTTACCAAGTTTCAGGCCAAGTACAATAATATTATCACTGAGTTAAGTCATCTCGCAGTCGTCGCAAAGAATTCCCATTAAAGGATTTCAAAGGATAAGTCCGTGAAGAAATATTCCCGGCTCGGAACTCGGGTTAAATTATCACGGAGTGTGTTTGTTCCATTTTCTGCACCGGTACCGCTAAGCTGAAAGGAGCGCAGCCTTTTGACCCGAATACCGGAGAAGCGGCGTTTTAGCCGCATATAATGTCGCTAAATAAGGGCACTAAACGGTTTATCCCATCACGTCGCGATTAAGCGGCGACAAGATGCGATTTATCAGATTATCGGTAACTGAAATATATTGTCCCGTTACGCGGGAAAATTCATTTGACAGAAAACTGAGGTGAGGAAGAAGACGAATAAAATGCGAGAAGTACATTTATAAGTTAAAACAGAATTTTCCTCGCCCGCCGGAGACTTTCCTCGTTCGTTATTACGGTCGGCCAATAAAACTAATCACACTCTTTAATTATCGTAATCCCAGGCATTATTCCACGCTGTTAAGCTCGGCACTAATC